CTGCACATGGCAGAGGGTTTCAGCCAGAAACATGGCAGAGGGTTTCAGCCAGCCCATCTTCACTGGCAGAAGCACTGCAGGCCGATCCTTCGCTGTTTCCAGGGCAGCCCCGCGGGCCAGATCTAAGTACCGCGGGGGACGTATCTGGCCCCCGGGCCTTGAGATTGTCACTCCTGGAATAGAAGAATGGCCATTTCAACTGCACCTAATCAGAATTTCCGTGTAAAGTTGGTAAAGCACACATAGCAACAAATGCTTGCGAGCTTCACAGTGCTTTACAACTCTCTCTAAGAGGTTTAGAGAGTCAGCATATTGTCCGCAACCATCTGGGTCCTCATTTTACCGACCTCAGAAAGATGAAAGGCTGAGTCAACCTTGAGCCTGGTGAGATTTGAACTGCTGAACTACTGGCAGCTGGCAGTCAGCAGAAGTAGCCTGCAGAACTCCATTCTAACCACTCTGCCACTGTCATTCTTACAATGCTGGTTTTCTCACATTTCCTGGACTTTTGTTACAACGGCTCAGGCATGTTATCATCGACAATAACTGATGCCAGTGGATTCCTCACTTAAAAATACCTGATGTGCTTTGTATTAAATAAGCCCATTTTACCTAATACAAATTCAGAACTTTGTATGCATTTTAAAACCCTCTTTAAATCATTTCTTGCATTTTCACAGTAATCCTGATTTGTATGTCCATACATTTATATGCTGCTTGGAAAAGATGAGGCATGTTATCAAAAGAGAGAGAGATAAGACAGCCGTGAGCCAGCTGAGTACCACTACCACAGCTTAAACCCATCATTTGGCAATAGAAGTTTCAAAAGAAGCTGGCAGATGCAGGACTTTATTCTCATGCTTCTCCCTATAATATTGGCAAGTTGAGTGTGGAGGTGGTTCAGGGTGCACAAAAGGAACAACAGGCTGTTTGGTTCAACGGTCACAATTGTGTTCATGGAGGAACGAAGTGAATGTTACCTCTACGTAACTGGGGAAATGTAACAGCCAAACCATAAACCTGTGAGTCAGGCATTAGACCTTTTGTAACCAGCAGAGATAGTTTATAAATGCAGCCTCTCTAATAACTTCCTGTTCTCAACAGTGAGTAAAACCAATTTTTAATCTCATACAGGAAAATAAACATTTTGATTGGCAGGAATCTCTTTATGGTTGTCTCTCTCTCTCTCTCTCTCTCTCTCTCTCTCTCTCTCTCTCTCTCTTTTGTATCTAAGCAAACTATAAACAAATTGTAGCATAAATAACAAATACTTTGGCTACCTAATGAGAAGGAAGGACTCACTGGAGAAGAGCCTAATGCTGGGAAAGATTGAGGACAAAAGAAGAAAGGGATGACAGAGAACGAGGTGGCTGGATGGAGTCACTGAAGCAGTAGGCGTGAGCTTAAATGGACTTCAGAGGATGGTAGGGACAGGAAGGCCTGGAGGAATGTTGTCCATGGGGTCGCGATGGGTGGACATGACTTCGCAACTAACAACAACAACAAAGTATAAATAAATTACACTTAAGACAATTTCAACATGCTAACGCTTCACAGAAAAATCCGATTTCTGCTTAAAATATTCCAGAGCAGACTATCCCGTCCCAGAGTCCATTCCTATTGTTATGAATTTCTCAGAAATAGGTTCACAATATGCCAAAAGGGGTGTGAAAAGGTTGTTTTGGTATAATACAGAAATGTAGTCGTTGTGGTTTGTAAGCCACCATTAAGGGCTTAACCAAAAATATGCCCCCCACCCAATTATAGCTTATTCAACAAAATTATAACTTTAAAAAATCTATTACTTAGAGTGTGTGTGTATGCGTGCGTGCATGCATATGAATGACAAGAAAAATGCAAAGGCACAAACAAAAATGAAAAGACAGAAAATCCCTCTCAAAATAAATTTTTACAGAACTAAAAGTTCAGATCTTAAAGTAAACCTTGGCAACGGAGAATAATGTGATCAGACATTCCATTTTGTCAGTAAAAGGCCTGTTCATACCTAGAAACTGAACACATGCCTTCTCTCCGGGATTTTAAGTCATGTGTAATAGTTTTCTCCCGAATAAAACAATAGTTTTAGCTATAGCTCATGCACAGTAAATCAAGCTCGTTGTTTTTTGATAGGTTCAATGTTTTTAGAATATAATTTGACATCACATTCTTTAACCTTTATTTCTTTTACCAATCTTAAGAATGAATCAAATGATGCCACCATAGAACATAAGAGAAAACATTTGACTTAGTGTCCACTCCAAAACATTACACTTCCACCTTAAACCTTGCAACATATCTTATAGCCTGCCCAATAAACAAACAAACTCTTGCATTAATTACATCTTACAATAATGAGATACTAATGTGATGTTCCCAAAACTCCAACCCACTGGTTTATTGGAACAGGACATTCCAAACCAGTCTCAGTGTTAGGACACCGTATGCTTCCCTTTAATTGTTTATCCATTCATTTCATACATCTCTCTGAAGCAACAGAATGTATACTGTAATACATTTTCTGCCTGGCTGGCATCCTAATAAATTATGCTGTCATTCCTTAATCTACTCCTCACCAGGATAAGTATTGTTAGCTTTCCACACTTCCTCACAAAATGTACGTCTATATGAAAGATGGTGTCAGGTTGCAATGTCATCTCAAATAAATTGCATTCCCAATTAATCTTTGCTGAAATATTCCATTTATTGAGTACGACAGATCTGGCCCCGACTTCGTCGTAGCTGATTCTAACCCTCTGACCCCCAAACCCTTCCCTTTCCGTTCCCCAATTCTCATCTTCTCATTGGCCATCTTCCAAGTCAGTCTCCCCAGCTTCTGACCTCACCCCACAGGAATGTTCCCCCCACCATCCCATCTCCTAGGGGATATTATCTACAGAGAAATAACTAGGTGAAAAGTCAAGCCTCGTCTTTTTATGGCAGAATCAGAATGCTGACAGATGGACTTCCCCTGCTTTCTGTTTTACCAAGAATTACCAAATAATGCACCACACGTGGTCCTTTTGTCTAGTTTTCACTTTATTTATATGTTATATACAGTATTTTATACTGAAAATTTTATATATATACATATATATACACCCACATATACATTGTACATGCATAAATGTATACACACAACCAAGCATTCTTGAAACTGAAAATTAAAAGAAATTAAACTAAGGACAAAAGAAAATTTTTCATTGTATTTGCTTCTGAGTTGATCCTAACGTAAGTATCTTTGCAGTTATTATCCACAGATATCCATTTACATGGATTTTTAAAGAAAGAATTGCTAGGAATCTAACAGGATTTATCCTGATTTTGTAAAGTGGTGAAATCATTGTTGATTAGTGAGAAAAAGAATAATTTGTAATGCAGTAGACCAGGGGTGGGTTCTACTTACCTTTACTACCAGTTCGTAACGGAAGCGCCGTGTGCTTGCTTTGCTCACGCATGTGCATATTGTCAATTATAATGTCCGGGTGGGTGGGTGGAGCCTCCTGCCCCTTTTACTACCCGTTCTAAAGAACCGGACAAAACCGGAAACAACCCACCACTGCAGTAGACCTTATCTGAGTCCGACTCATATCACACAATATTAAATGGAAGCCAGCATTCAATTTGGAGAGTTGCTGACTATTAAACGCCATAAATAGACCTCCAATAGATGCAAAAGGAAAAAAAAAATGATATGAGCTTGTTTATGCAAATCTCTTAATTATTTACTAAGTTCTCCCTCATTATTTCATTTTATTCCAGGACTGCTTTTGTATAGTAACTGAGTTCCCTCCATATTCTCCAACCATTGAAACATCTAAAAGAAAAAATCATTATTCTCCCGTAGGACTCGGGGCGGCTCACAGAATAAAAACAACATAACGATAAAAATGCTAAAACAAGCCAATTTAAAATCCCCAGTCAATTAAAACCTTGCGGCAGATCAGGGAATTTGCTGAAAAAGCCATGTCTTCAGGTCAGCGCGGAAAATGCAGAGGTCGGAGGCCGTCCAGAGCCCGGTGGGTAACCCATTCCAGAGGCTCGGTGCGGCCACAGAGAACGCCCTCATCCTGGGGGCCGCCAGCCGACATTGTCTGGCCGACGGCACCTGGAGGAGGGCAGTCCTATGTGAGTGCACTGGGCGGTGGGAGGCTGGTAGGAGGTGGTCCTGCAAGTACCCCGGGCCCATGCCATGAAGGGATGGCATAAGCATAATTCATCTCAAAATTCCTCCTTTACAGTGGAGGAATACAAATAGCTCCCCCCTTCTCAGAACTTGATTTGAGGAGTTAAATTCAACGGTGTCTAGTTTTTTCTACAATGTACTAGAGTATAAACCAGCTCTTAATTTATAGTCTTTCAGAAACATAGTGGGAAATGTAGATGGAAGTGTTGCAGCAGCTAATACACAACAGGTCCAACTACATGGGAATAGAAATCCCAGATGCATTCTTGTCTTTGGCCATTAAAAGTTGGCTGGTGAATTGTTCTCAGTCCTGCATGTATCATCTTTGCACCCAACTCAGAGAAGTAGCTGTATGTGTTAGAGCAGGGGTGTCAAACCCACGGCCCACGGGCCGGATGCATCACGTGCTGGCCACGCCCACCCCCCGTTTAGGGAAGTGGAAGAAAGTTGCGATACATTGCGATACGTTGCATGACATGACACCGCGAGTTTGACACCCTTGTGTTAGAGGCATGAAGGCCTTTTGACAGTCATTTCATCGGATCAATTCTATTTGAGAATATCCATTTTCTCAAATGAAAATTTTCACATCTGAGAAAGTGAGCCTGTCTATAGTAGCAGATGCTATAATAAATGTCTTTGATTGTTAATACTTCACTGCTTTTGATTTTCTATGAGACACATGAAAGATGTTCTAAATGTACACCTAAAAGCATAAGATGTGAATAGAAAAAGCACATGCTGGTAAATTTATCTATTCAAACAGACCCACAAATCACAGAAAGGGGATTGAAAGGTATTCGATATACCTTTGCCAGTAACTCTGTTGCTAGGTAACATTTCAAACAGGCCATGCTTAGCTCTACATCACCATATTTATTGAAAATATTTTATAGCGCTTCTGAAAGCAAAGCCTTTAGTAGTACCACTGTTGTCCTGAATTGTATCTTCTGCGAAGACTGGCATAAAAATAGGATTTGTTTTTCATCTGCCTTGGGAACTTATTACTTATTACTGGTGTTAACACAGTCAAAAGATGCCTTAGGCAAAACGAATAAAGGTTTTCACCTGATTGTGTTCTTCCGTTATGATGGCAATGCAGAGAAAACTGGGCAATTCAGTTAAGTGTTAATTTGATTTATAAAGGGATTTAGCAAGATTGTGATTCTGTTCTGTTCTGTTCTGTTCAGTGACTGCAACAAAACGGGGAGACCAAATTTTAAAGAAGCACAGGATGGCTATTATTGTATATATATATATACACTTTATGCAAAGTTTGACAAAAATGAAATCTTCTCATTTACAAATCAAAATGTCATTTTTACAGCATAAGGTAATTATATGAATTACGTAGCAACATTTGCAAATAATTTGGGATCACTATTTGAATGATAATCCCAAATTAAAATCGCAGAGCCTTTCTTTCCCTTCACTCTGTTACTTTCTGTACAGATAAACAGTACTTAAAAATGCTGGCCATTGCATTCACATTTTTTTCTAAAATGTTGCTTGGAAACAACATGGCATTCTTAAAAACAGTTATGCAAACTCCAGAACATGAATTGAATGCTGTATATATGAATACGCATGTGCTTACACACGACTTCCGTTTTTGAAGAAAAGCAACCACACATTTCATATATAACCTCTGCGAGGTAGATAGGCAAGCGTTATAATTCAGAAAAGCAAAGATGTTATTGCAGAGAGACTGGCTCCTCTAAATGGGAAAAAAAAAACCACCTCTGGAAGTGTGGCAGAGTTTGGCAGTTTCTGACATTCAAGGCTCTGACAATCCCTGCACCTTAATGGCCCCATCCAGGGAGAACAGATGTGCAAAAAGAGATGAAGAATGCAAACAAAAGGAGGAAAAACATTTTGATGACTTCCAGAGTTGGTTTACTTATTTACTCTTTGTTGAGGCAAGATGGAAAGGGTATGGTCCCCCTGAAGGGTTTGTGCCCACTCATCTGTCCTACAAGCAACCTGACCTGTCTCAATCTTTCCTGTCTAGTCTCTGATGCCATGAAGAAAGCTGGAGGAAGGGATAGGAGAATGGCTTCTACAGGATAGGAAAGAGATGCGAGAATTTCCTTTCTCAGTTCAGGTCCTTTGGAAGGAAAAATCTAACATATCCTGTGGACCTTTAGGATCCATAAAACTGCCGTCTAGGAACTCTTTATTAAAGCCAGTTTGACAAGGATTATTTTCATCTGTGCTGTAAATGTCACTACAATTTACCAACATTGCTATCTTCTCCTCTGCAATGATCAAAGAATGATTCCTTGAACTATCAGTTTCAAGGAACTGGATTCCATGATGTATATTGCAATTTCCACAAGGAGATCTAAAGTCTTCCTGCAAGGATCAAACATTCCAGACTGAAAGATCGTATGTCCTGGAGCCTTATATCTGATATTCAAAGCTCCAGGTTTTTCTCTCCCTCATTGGGGTTTATCATAGTAATCTTAAAAAGTGTTTGTGATCTGCTTTTTTTTCCTTTTGGTTCAGAAGAAATAATGGGAGCTCCACCCCCCGCAAAGAAAATCTTTTAAACATTCAACACGATTTCTTTATCTACCATCAGATGTGCTCCTCCCATTGATTTTATTCACTTTTCTTAATCTTTCAAAACTTTAAAAGATCCCCTTTTAGATCTTCATGTATCCAGAAGCAAGTCTATTTCTCACTGAGCAGACACATTTTTAGATAGTTATGATAATCTAATGAGAAAGGAAGAGGGACGCTGACCTTTCAAAGGTGATGTCTACAGAAGATACTTAACAAGATGTGGCAAAGAATTCATAATTCATTTGCATAAAACACTAACCTTAGTATGAACTTAAGTCAGGCTTTTTGTGGACTATTATGTTGAGAACCCACCCTCTTTATGATTTAATGGAACAGAGCCGAGAAAATTGGTTAATTGGTTAATTAACAAAATAAAAGATATTTGTGTGAATGCAGTGAATTTTTCCTACATTAGATTAATGGCTCTTTTTCTCTCATTCAGTCATTTTCTTTCTCAGACATGTGCATACAGTATATTCTAAGAAGGGGAGCATCTTTCCAATAACTTGGAAAGGAACTCAGGAACTATACAGGTAGTCCTCAACTTACAAAAGTTCCTTTAGTGACTGTTCAAAGTTACAACAGCACTGAATAAAGTGACATGTGACCATTTTTCACACTTATGACCGTTGTAGCATACCCATGGTCACGTTACTCGGCAACTGGTTCATATTTCTGATGGTTGCACAGTGTCCCTGAGATCATGTGATCACCTTTGGTGACCTCCTGACAAGCAAAGTCCAAATGGGCAAGCCAGATTCCCTTAGCAATCATGTTACTAACTTAACAACTGCAATGATACACTTCACAACTCTGGCAAGAAAGGTCATAAAATGGGGCAAATCTCACTTAACAAATGTCTCGCTTAGCAACATAAATCTTGGGCTCCATTGTGGTCATAAATTGAGGACTACCTGTGTAATCATCTGCTTTCTGAGTCCTACAGCTGTGATGGCGAACCTATGGTATGCGTGCCAGAGGTGGCACACAGAGCCCTCTCTGTGGGCATGCCCGCCGTCGCCAGCTGGTCTTCTGGTTTGCCACGCACATGCGCACCTGCCAGATGGTCTTTGCGTGTGCCGTAGTGCCGGAAACTCGAAGACCATCTGGCCATGTGTATGCATGTGCTGGCCACCTGGTCTTTGGGTTTCCGGTGCTCCGACGTGCACATGCGCATGCACACACACGTGTTCCGGTATGGGCACTCAGTGCCAAAAAGGTTCGCCATCACTGTCCTAGAGCATAGAAAATATGAGTTAACTGTGAAAGAATATTCCACATCCCCCCTTTTGAAATAGTCCCATTCAATTCCTTCAGGTTTTCATCCCCAGAAGAAACACCAATCAAAAGATAGGATCATTTATGTTAAACATATTTTGCAGAATTGGGATAATTTGGGGAAACTTCAGATTTCTGAGATAATCAGAACAGAGTTCATACTGAGAGCGGATGAGTTGAAACAACAGTTTGCTAATTCCTCTTATTCCTCTTTCACCCAGATGAGTCACAATTTCCATCAGGAATGAAATGTTGACTGTATTATCCAATCTGTCATTCAAATCAGGCCTTTCATTTAAGCCCATCAGTCTGCTCTAATTTCTAGGAAATAGCATCCTTCACAACTTTTTCTTGTGGGTCGGGACTGTACTGGACTGTATTGGACGTTAAAAATCTATTGGACGTTTGATTAACCACTTGTGGACATGTGGATTTTTTTCATCCCAGTTCTCGTAGCTGTTCTTCGAAAGCAACCAACCAAACTAATAGAAAAATTTAAAAGTTATCATGAAAAAATAAATCTATTTTTTCTCAACCCAACACTATTACTTAACTGACTGTTAAATATATTTAATAGTTTTTAAATATAAAAAATGTGGGATTTCTTTTAAAAATATAATAGAATTACATATTTTATGCCTGTTCAGATTTCTGGCAGATTATCCCAGGGACAACTTTTCCATATCGCAATTGAATTTTATATATTATACCTTAAAGCAGAAGACTCTAACAGCTGCTTATAATTTCCATTTTGAGCCAACAATTCCTTTATGATGAATCTTTGAAGAACAGCAGAACAATCTTAGAGAACATGTTAAGCCAACATGTCCAATGTTAAAAAAAAAATCCCTCTCACTCATATTTACACACACATACCATATTTTATAGGATATGTAGAAGTCTTGGGAAGTACTGCTGGTAAACTATATAAAGTATTTAAAATATATTTAAAATATATATTTAAAATATATTTAAATATATTTTTATATATATTTAATATAGTGTTAATAAATATATTACAAGCACTGTATTACATAAATATTTTCAGATGAAAAAGTGTGGTAAATTGAAATAAAAAAAAACCACCTCATATGGTCACTGCAGAAGTAGCTTTCTCTAAAACAAATGGTACTTATTAAAATCAGTTAATCGTCTCTAGCAACTCCAAAAACTCTAAAAAATTTGCCTGGCGATGATGGCTTGGAAAAAAATAACAGCTGGGTAAGGAAGCTAGGGACAACCAAAAATGTTTTTGTCGTTTTGTCGTTTACTACACATGATCTGAAAAGTTCTCAATTGCATGAGATTAAGCTGAGAAATTTTAATTCACCACGTATTTTTTTAAAAAAACCCTAAATATTTCAACCTTTATTTAAACAGAAGTGCCTTCTTTTCACTCTGCAACTTCAATGCAGTTCTGAAACGAATCCTTGTCTTGAACACTACTAATTAAGTCTGGGTTGTATGATAGCAATCAACGAACTGGATCATGTCCAGAGAAGGATGACAATGATAGTTAAGGGCAGGCAGCCAAACCTGGCAAAGAGAGGTTGAAGAGTGAATATGATAGCTATCTTTAAACATTCAAAAGATTGTCACAGGGTTGATGCAACAAACATGTTCTCTGTTGTTCAGGGGCAAAATACAATGCTTAAATTACAGGGGAAGATGTCTTTAACTCAGTATTAGGAAGAACAATCTGATAGCATGGGGTGTTTGACAATATAAAAGACTATCTGCAAAAGAGATGGTTACTATTATTATGGTTGGTCACAGTCAATCAGATATTTAGACTGGATATGGCATTTTTGTCCTCCTATTGAGTCCTTCCCAAAACCCTGGGCTACGCAGATATTATTGTTTAATCATATTAAAAGTATTGTCACAGGATGTAAGCAATTTCAAGTAAAGCTGCCTTTTGCAATTAACTGGGGGTGCTCCAGATTTTTTGGGGGGGATTGCATCCAAGGCACCCAACACTATTGGTATTATCTTTGCTTTCTTTTGCCACAATAGTTCTTCTTCTATTTACATTATTAATATTATTTGTGGGGAGTATAAATGTTGAAACCAGTTAGCCATTTATCAAGGCTGCAGTGGCAAATGAGACGTTCGGTCCCTACTAACCCTGGAATGGATTTACTGTTACACCCATTAGTTTCTCTTAAAATTCTGGAATTCCATAGATCAAAATAAATAGACTAACAGCTTAACTAAACACAGTGTTAGACTTAAGAGAGTAGATGGGACTACAGAAGAACATATGGAGAAGACATTGAAAGATTATGAACTACAAGTCACCTATAGATGAGCACGATATAAAATACTTCCACTAAAAAATGTATATCCATGTTTGGCTCATGTATATCCATATTCACTCACATCTTTCCTTCTTCTTCTCTTCTTCTTCTTCCTCCTCTCCTTTTTCACATTAACAAGAGTGTATCTAAATTGTATCAAAGAGATTCAAAGGCAAAGTCACATATGAATCAGTTCGTTTTATGAACAGCTGCCTAAGCAGTCCCAGGTCAAATGTCTTAATTCAGAAGAGATCATAATCAGCCAAACTGCACAGGTACGTAAAAAAAAGTGGCATACAATCAGGGAATTCTTTTAAGGAAAAAACAAAAAACAAATCAGTCATGAAATATAAATACATGATAAGCAGCTTTGTTCCCGTATGGCTGGTTCATTGAACAGTTCTGCAGTGAGAGAGCTCTGTACTTTTAAAGAAGCAATTAGAAAATTTGGATATCACCATGTCCCTTATTGCTATGTTGATTTAAAAATCTGGCCAGATTTCTACCCCAATATAAAATCAGAGACGGTTTTTTCCTCAAAGAGATATCAGCAAGCAATACCCATTGAAAATCACTCAGTGGTTCATTCAAGTCTTACCTAAAGTGTAAACTACCAGTATATGTCACTTTTACTTTTTGTTCCCTCATCTTTGAAAAAGGGATAAAGGAACAAAATGATTTCAGAATGGTTTGACTTTGAATTATTCAAATAATTCCGCAAATTAAACCTATTCTAGCAGCTATCTGCAAAACATGCTGTTATAATGAAACAGTAGTAAAGACATCAGTTTATACCATGGCAAAAATTCCCAGTTTCCTGAACTGACAGTAATGTATTGCTGGAATAATTAGGGAAAGTCTTAAAATGCATTCTTCCATTTTCATGGTTAAAATCTGGGGTATAGTAGCATCTCTGGGAAACATGGGATCACTGAGATTATGGGCTGGAAGGATGTCTAGGATTACTTTTGATTAATAGGACACAGCTGTGTAAAGGTGGATGGACAATATGAGCAAGCTGAAATATTTTTAATACTGATAATTCTTGGTTAGCAACAACTATTTGGACTAGAATTCCCATCGTTAAGTGAAGCAGTTGTAAAGAGCAATGTCACCTAATTGTGTTGCTTCCTTACAGCAATTCTGGCACTTGTTACTATTAAGCAAATCTCACAATGCCGTTAAAAGAGTGATGTCATGTGGCTGCCATTTGTGACCTCGATCAGCTTCCCCGTTGACTTGTCTTGTCAGAAGCCTGAAGTGAAGATCACAAACGGCAATCAAGGGACTGTGGGATGCTGCGACATATGTCAAGCACTTGCATCGCAATCAGATAACTACGGTGATTGCTGCAAGAGCTGCGGCTTCAAGAACTGATTATACATATATATATATATATATACCACTCATTCAGCACCATCCTAAATTCAAATACTTGCTGAACAAGTGATTGTTGAATGAGAACCAGCCTTCAGATGTCTATTATTTAGAATTCCCAACAATATTCACTATGAATGTTTTGCCTAGAAGTTATACAACATGTAACTCCCATGACTACATTTCTACAAGATTAATTTTGCAAGCAGAAAGAGAATCCTCATGAAATAATATGATGGGAGAAATCTAATGAGATGCTCTACATCAACGGTCCCCATCCTTTCCAGCTTTGCGGACTGGTGGCAGTGGCATCAGGGGGGAGGGGATGGTTCCATGCAAATGGAGCTTCGCGCACAAGCGAATATGCCTGCCACTCATGCAAGCGGAGGTGTGCAGGTGGGCACGCTTGCCCGCTGCTTGCGCAGCCTGGTTCTGAATGGGCTGCAGCCCGAGGGTTGGGGCCCCCTGCTCTACATTCTACATTCTGGTGTCTTTCCAGGGAGTATTACAGCTCCTATGGTCCTATAACTGTTAATGCTGACAACGAATTCTGAGTGTTGCAGCAAATCTGAATGGCATTGAGTAACCAAAATGTTAAGAAATAAACAGTGACATGATCATATATAACAGATTGTGAAGAAAAAAAATATATAATAAGAAAAATACATAGGGGAAATGATGCCCCCCAAAATACCACTAAGCAAAACCAGAAGGGGGGAGGACCCAAGGAATTTCATACTGATTGTTGCAGTGCGAGTCAACAAAACCTATTTTGTATGCTGGATGCCATAAAACAAGAAAAAGTGCCAGCATGCAACTGGACTTCCCACCCAGGCTGACGGGCGGTAGTTCATTGTTGCCAGAGGAAAATGAGCAAATGAGTGGCTCTGGAGCATGACAAAGCGATAGTTTCTCAGCACTTTGGTGATTGGCTGTGCCCGTCAGCATGATCCATGCTGCAGCTGTAGGCATGAAGGCACCTGCAAAGTCTACAGCTCTTGCTGGACGTGACGGAGAAATATTGATGTGTACATCTACAGAAAGAAGAGAGCAAATGCCTGGAAGCCACTGGCTTCACTTTAAATAGTCCACAGGTGAAGGGTGAATTGCAAATGTACCTTAGAAATCCATTTCACAGTCGTTCTTCACAACATCACGCTCAGATGCTTGCGTGTGCATTCTCTTCCAAGACATACTGGCACTGATTGTGGAGAGGAAAAAAGGTTGAGAATCTTGTACAAGAAGGTGATTTTCTTGGCCAATCGATTATGTCTACAAAGCAGCTGGTGTCTTAAAAACGCCCAAGTGTCCTTCTTAGTGTTTCAGTACTAATAACATTGAACATTTTCCCTTGGAAGCGCTGATTCACTGAACAGCATGACTTGATTTATGGTTAAAACCCTTTTTTCCACGTTTTTCCCTGCCTCCAACCTCTACCAGCCTGAAAATGTTCATTGCATTTTGTTGTTGCTTTTAAAATCTGCAGAAAAACAGATGCTCTGCAGGATTCACATTCACCAAAATAAAAATTAAAAAAAGGCTATGCATGGCCTATAAATACAGGATTTCACGAATCTGGAATTTAAACTGATTTCTCCCAAGGACAGCATAAATTACATTACGCATAGTGATTGACATGAGTGCTCCTACATCCTGTGATTATTTTTCAGGTCCCAAAGATTTCTTGTGTAGACTCACAATGGCTAACAGTTCTAATGCAATGTATGCAATACAGGGGCTTAGGCAGCATGGAGACTCTTTTTTGTGTGATTTTTGCACATTCCGCGTTGAAGGCAAAGCTCTTAAATTCCAGTGTATTGCCTACCTTATTTAATAGTAATATTGTCCTGAAATGAGCTTTGTCCCACTGGAATGTTCAGCACCAGTTTCTGTATTATACAAATACACTAATGTGTTAAGAGAGGTTTCCAAGGGTCAAGAAGTAAATACTCTAAACCTCCACTGTGAGTTCCATACTCCAATCAACAGGACTAGACAAGACCATCCAAATACTATAAAGAAAAGCTTCAAAGAAGCAAGATTTGCAGTCACAGATTCTGAAACATCCTCCAGGATGAGTGCAGCTGTAGCATCCCCAACAGAGCTGATGGATGTTCGGGCATCAGTCTCTTATTTTCTCTTTTTGAAAACTTCTTCATCCTTGCTCTCCACCGCAGAAAGTGCAATGAGCATTTGAGCCGCGTAGTAAGTGGCCATGATGATGACCCTTGAGTAGGGGACAGGAAAGCAGAATTTGTTGACCGCAATAGTCAGGTCAGATACCATGAAAAGCACAGAACCGATGCAAGCAGAAAGCTTGGTCCAAGTCCACAGGTCGTTGCAGAGCTGCACACCAGCCATAGCCCGCCAGCCCATGAAGCCAATTAAGGCAACGTAGACAGCTACCAAATAGGTAAATGGGCCTGACAGGTAGAAATACAGGAAGGTGTAGCAGAAACTGGACACCAAGCCAATCCCAAAACCAACTTTCAGGTCCCAAGGTTTAATTCCAAATGCTGAAGAATACAGTATGTGTGTAATACCGAACATCAACAAGCCTGGGGAAGGAGAACAAATGCTCTGAATTAGTAGAGAACAAAGTACTTAGCATAGATCACAATGGTAATTTTAGAACAATGCTCAGCAAAAATTACAAGTGAAAAATGGTGTATGCTGTGTCCAATCATTTCTACAAATGCCACCATTTACCTCACAAAAACTGTGACAATAAAGATGTTTTCTCTTGTCTGTTCCTTTTATTTTTTTTTTGGTCCCAGGATGAAATTCATAGTTTCATTATAGTCTTTGTCATCCTTTTGTATCCTGAACTAATTTTTATAAATCACTCCTGCCCAGATGTTGAATTAATAAACCAAGAAACAAATTCATATTCACACTAGGTGCCAGAAATCTGTAGTATTTTTAGTTTGTCATTCATACATCCCAATTACCCTTGAAGAAACTCAGATGTGACCTGAGACTAAATCACTCGTAGCCCTTTGCATCATGTGAGTAGGAAAAAGAGGTACAAGAATTTCACTTGAAACAGAGCTTATGTTTAATACCCAGCAGTTGGCATGAATTGTATGTCTTCACAACTTTTCTACAATAAATCTTCCAGTTTGAGAGTTTGTGTCTTTGGAAAACTGTTCCGCCTGGCTTGCCAAGGAGAGCCTGACACAGACTGAGCTGTCTTCATCTATACAACCACTAATGCACAATGGTAAAACCCACTCTTTGGAGATGTGATGACTGGCTTAATTCTGATACTGAAAGGATACCTTGGATTACAACAAAAATCTGCAAAATTTACTGTAAGGGGAAAACTAGTGAACATATAATATAGGAAATGTATATTGTACCTGTAACTCTTAGAAAAACAGTTGATGCCTCCTGCCAGAGATGTCATCACAAAAAGTCACATCTTCATTTCTTCAAGGGTAATTGGGATGTATGAATGACAAACTAAAAATACTACAGATCTCTGGCACCTATTGTAATTATGAATTTGTTTCTTGGTTTATTAATTCAACATCTGGGCAGGAGTGATTTAGAAAAATTAGTTCAGGATGCAAAGGAATGACCAAGACTATAATGAAACTATGATTTCCATCCTGGGACCAAAATATAAAAGGAACAGATAACAGAAAAGATTTCAGGGGAAAGATCCCTCACTATCCAATAAATCTATTCCTGTATAAGCCACATGGTACCCAGGCTTAATCTACTTTCTCCACATTCTGCAACTCAAATCAGGGTAATTGGACTGAAGGTAAAGAGGTTAGGGCAGGCAGTGACATCCCTCCATGTAGCAACATGACATTTTCTCATCCCAGCCTCTTGTTACTGCTCCCCACATCTCTAGTTATATACTAACACTTCACCCGGGAACAGACCGGTTCCAGTTCCAGTACCAAAACTGGGTGTTGATTCCACTCATTTATCCTTGTAAGCAACTTGGCATTTTCCCCCAAAGGTTCTATGTTCCCCTCAAAACAGACAAACCCACTAACCATGAATAAAGTAGCCTTGCTCTTGCCAGATGAGGAAAGCATCTCCCAAGGCAGAGAATATCAAACCAGCAAAGATCCTACAGGCATTGTGATGGGCTGTCAGGAAATTGATCCCATGTGCCAGCAGGAAGACCCATAAGCAGAAGATTGGCAAACACTTGATCAGGGCACTGAACCAGGAAGGGCTGGACGTTGGCAACCAGAGGACAAAGTAGACACAGGTGGCTTTGAAAAAGGGCACGAGTTTAGGACCTTCACTCTTCACCTAGAAGAAACAAGAAGTGGATATTAAGGTCTATTTCAATAGCTATTGAGCCCCAAAGAGTAGCGGTAAACAACAGGGCCAAATCCTTCCTCAGAGTCTAGACAGCCTACTTCCCCTTTTGTTCAAAAATCTTGCTGATCAGCAGCATTTTCAAAAACAAAAGTATCTTGAACTTTACCATACTTTCGCTCTCTCCATATGTCATCAGCTGTTTAGCCTCAGAACTTTTCCATGCCAAGAACAGAAGTTTACTTCCTGTAAAGTATCAGCATCTTGGAAATCTGATTATGATTAGGGTTTTTACCATGTACTGTACTAGTGTTTGTATACAGGAGTGAAATGTGTTCTAAATTAGTTCTGAAGTTTAGTTCTCTCACACAGATATATATTCTACTCTGCATATACTGTACATGCTCAAACAAATATAATTTTCCAAAACCATAGCCCCAGCAAGGCATATGCTGCTTTATAGTCAGTTCCTGGCATCATTCGTTTATTTATATGCATATATAGGAAGACAGAATCTTGGAAAGTCTTAAAATGTAAGGAGTCCTTCAAGATGTGTGGGCCTTTACCCTTTTAAGTTCTCTGGTCAGCATGAAGGGCACTGGATTAGGGAATATCAGGCTAGATCAAGAGCAGACAATGATTTTTAGCCAAGATCAGAATGACTTTTTAAATTACTTTGGCTTCCAAGGTGAGCAAGAGTGTATGTGCAGTGATGTGGTAATGCCATCGAATGCATGGAGATGAAGTGTATTTCTCCACTTAAGTTTGCTTGAAAATAGGGGGACAAACTAGCAATGGTCAGCTATTTTGCAGCCAAATGTTATGGCACAACATGGGTAGGGAGCAGCATAGAATTTCAGACATGGATTGCCCAGCCTTCCCTAAGAAGTTTACAAAAGGCTTCAACATGTCATTACCGCCCTCAGGATCCTCACACAGCTATAACCACTCATCCACTGTCATTCAATAAACATTTCTCAACATGGTACTAAGTAGAATCAAACTTCCTGATAGTGTGAATTATGTGCATTCCCTTAATTGTTTAAGAGTTTAAGAGTTTATTAGATTTCTATACCGCCCTTCTCCCAAAGGACTCAGGGCGGTGTACAGCCATATTAAAATACATAGATTTATAAAATTTAAAACCAATTAAAATCGAATATAAAATTTGGCCGTGAATTAAAACATACATACATTTTAAAAATTCAGCAGTCCGGCTTGCTGAAACAGAAGGGTCTTAAGGGTGCGGCAAAAAGTACGCAGGTCGGGGATAAGACAAAGCTCTAGGGGCAGCTCATTCCAGAGGGCTGATGCCCCCACAGAGAAAGCTCTCCCCCTGGGTGTCGCCAGTCGGCATTGTTTGGCCGACAGCACCCTGAGGAGTCCCTCTCTGTGGGAGCATATTGGCCGGTGGGAGGTTGTTGCTGGCAGAAGGCGGTCTCGTATATACCCCGGTCCTAAGCCATGGAGCGCTTTAAAGGTGGTAACCAACACCTTGAATCGCACCCGGAAGACCACCAGGAGCCAGTGCAGCTCGCACAGGAGTGGTGTTACGTGGGTGCGCCAAGTTGCATCCATAACCACCCGCGCGGCCGCATTCTGGACCAGTTGGAGCCTCAGAGTGCTTTTCAAGGGGAGCCCCATGTAGAGAGCGTTGCAGTAGTCCAGACGTGACGTGACGAAGGCATGAGTGACCGTGCGCAGAGCATCCCGGTCCAGAAAGGGACACAACTGGTGGATCAGGCGAACCTGATAAAAAGCTCCCCTGGCCACGGCCGTCATGTGATCTTCCAAAGACAGCCGTGCATCCAGGAGAACACCCAAGTTGCGAGCCCTCTCTGAGGGGGCCAAGGTCTCGCCCCCAATAGTCAGCGATGGAACCAGCTGACTATACCGGGACGCCGGAAGCCACAGCCACTCGGTCTTGGAGGGGTTGAGTTTGAGCTTGTTTCTCCCCATCCAGATCCGCACAGCCTCCAGGCACTCGGACATCACATCAAGGGCATCATTGGGGTGGTCCGGGGTGGAGATGTACAGCTGAGTATCACCAGCATACTGGTGGAATCTCACCCCGAAACCACGGATGATCTCGTCCAGCGGCTTCACATAAATGTTGAACAGAAGGGGCAAGAGGACTGACCCTTGCGGCACCCCACATACAAGGCGCCTTGAGGTCGACCTCTGCCCCCCTGCCAACATAAACTGCATGCGGTCGGAGAGGAAGGAGAACCACCGCAGCACGGTGCCCCCCACTCCCAACCCCTCCAATCGTCGCAGCATGATACCATGGTTGATGGTATCAAAAGCCGCTGAGAGATCTAATAGGACCAGGACAGAGGAGCAACCCCTCCCGAGCCCTCCAGAGATCATCAACCAATGCGACCAATGCCGTTTCCGTGCTGTGCCCTGGCCTGAAGCCCGACAGAAATGGATCTAGATAATTGGCTTCATCCAGGGACTGGGGAAGTTGTCGCGCCACCACACTCTCAACAACCTTCGCCACAAAGCGAAGGTTGGAGACTGGGCAATAATTCGCTAATACAGCCGGGTCCAGGGAGGGCTTCTTGAGGAGGGGCCTCACCACCGCCTCTTTCAAAGAGGGGGGGATGTAACCCTCGCTCAAAGAAGTGTTAATAATCCCCTGGAGCCAGCCTCGTGTAACCTCCCGGGAGGCCAGCACCAACCAGGAGGGACACGGATCCAATAAACATGTGGCAGCGCTAAGCCTTCCCAGAATCCTGTCCACGTCCTCAGGAGTCACAAGGTCAAACCCCTCCCAGATAACATTCTCAAGACCCCTCTCCATCATCCCATCTAGATCTACCCAATCAGAGTCCCGAATCTGAGTGACTTTGTCATGCAGGAATTGCACAAAATCCTCAGCCCTGCCCTACAAGGGGTCGTCCCTCGCTCCCGGATGAAGGAGGGAGCGAGTCACCCTAAACAGGGCTGCTGGGTGGTTCTCTGCAGACCCGATAAGAGCGGAAAAATAATTAAATTTTGCCACTTTTATCGCCACTAGGTAGATCTTAATATGAGACCTCACCAGTGTTCAGTCAGATTCGGAGCGACTGGCCCTCTAATCACTCTCCAGGCGTCTTTTCCAGCGCTTCATCTCTCTCAGCTCCTCGGAAAACCAGGGAGCCAATTGAGATTGGCACCGGGTTAGAGGCCGCAAAGGCACGACACGGTCCAAAGCTTCAGCTGCCACTCTATCCCAGGCGGCCACCAGTTCTTCAGTCGTGCCGTGAGCCAGAGCCTCAGGGAATGGCCAAGCTCCGTCAGGAACCTATCCGGGTCCATCAGGCGCCTGGGACGAAACCACCTAGTCGGTTCCATCTCCCTGCGGCGAGGTGTAGCGGTTCGAAAGTCCATGCGAAGGAGGGAGTGATCAGACCATGACAAGGGCTCAATGACTAAATCCCCTATTTCCAGATCACTCTGCCACTGACCAGAGACAAAAATCAAGTCCAGAGTGTGTCCCCCCATGTGAGTAAGGCCTTGAACTAACTGGGTCAGGTTGAAGGCCGTCATGGAAGCCAAGAACTCCTGAGCCGCCATAGACGTATCGCCGACAGATGGCAGGTTGAAATCCCCCATAACCATAAGCCTGGGGGTATCAACCGCCACCCCGGCTATCACGTCAGGCAGCTCGGGCAGGGCTGCTGCCACGCAGCAGGAAGCCAAGTACATAATCAGCAGGCCCATCTGTACCCCACGACCCCACTTCACAAGGAGGGACTCACATCCGGCTATCTGAGGTACAGTGGCCTCCCTCGGACATAGACTTTCTTTAATAATAACTGCCACCACCACCCGCCCCTACCCTGAGCCCTCGGCTGATGGAATGCTCAGAAACCTGGTGGCCACATTTCAACAAGGGGCACCCCCCCTTCCGGCCCCAGCCAGGTCTCCATAATACCCGCCACATCCGCTCCCCCCTCCTGAATAAGATCATAAATGAGGGGGGTCTTATTTATCATGGACCTGGCGTTGTACAACATCAGCCAATAGCTCAGGCCCTGAGGATCTGTGCTACCTGGGGAACGAGAAAAGCATTGGGGACCGGAGTGCGCAATCGCTCGAAGATAGTGGGTGCGCACTCCCATAACATGATATGGCCCCCTGCTTCCACCATACCTGCCCCTCCCACCCACAGTACAAATCAAACAGCCCTCATTAGATCAAGCTCTAGCCCCCTCCCTGTGTGTTCAACCCTGCACTCCTAATGCCGCAATCCCCCGCCAGACCTGGCCTTCACCTTGGTGGGCTACCCCCAAACCCCCTTTGGTCACCCCCGAACCCCTTAAAATTTTAATTAAAAACCCATTTAAAAACCCCCTTAATTTCTTCTTTGCAGCATGCATCTCTCAGGGTTCCAAAACCCGTCATCAAGATAGGCCCTCGATAACGTGGAGGGCCAGGTCTGAGAGAGGGGGGAGTCTCGCAGTACAAGAAGCTTAGTCTTTGTATACATCCAGAGCTCTTGGATGATGGTATGATATGGCCTGGGAGTCCACCATGATGATCCAATAAGTCCAGGGAAAGAAGAAGCCAGGTGTAGCTGGCAACGTCTCTACTGACCTCTCACGGCAGTAGGCAGGAGTCATGGCGCTCCGACCACCGGGGGGCAAACCTCCAAACCACCCTTTCACGGTGGTTGGCCTACTGGCCATGGAGAAGCTGGAACAACCCCCCCGGTGATGGACGCGCAATGCAAAACCAGCTCCCTCAGTACACCCCGATGCTGCATCTCTCCAAACAGCAATTGAGCAAAGATGGAAAATAAGGGCAGTCCACGTGGGCTCAAATGGCAGGCGTACCAGGGAAATAAAAGATGGATACGGGCAGGGGCTATTTCCATCCGGTGAATTTACCTTCCCTACAATCTCTTTTTAATTGCTTTAGAAATATGGATAGTCCTAGCACTTTGCTGGTACATGACAGCTAATGTTAATTTGTGATTCAACCTCATTTTTCATCAATTTGTA